TCTGCCATGTTTCACCCGTCGGAGGTGGACGGGAAGGTTCTCGTAGAAACAGCTTCCTGCGAAGTGATGGACAAGGGCGGCTGGTCCTCAATTTCACTTCCCTTCACCCGTGGAGGCGACACGTCTGCTCAGACACTCGAAGGGCGATTTAAAGGGCACAGACGATCCTGGAGCTCACCGGCCACTGCTTCTCAGGCGTCCTGAGGCCCTGGAACTCACCGGTCACCGCTTCTCAGGCGTCCCGAGGCCCTGGAACTCACCGGTCACCGCTTCTCAGGCGTCCTGAGGCCCGGCCGGGGCAGACGGCACCATCGCGAGCCAGGGGAATCTGCTTATCGCTCGGCCACCCGGGTCCCCCGACGTCATCGCCCTCCCAGATGCTGGGTCTGGGCTCCAGGGTCTCGTTCTTACTTAGGTCACTGATGTCGCTGATCCGTGTGGAAACACCCGCCCCCGACTTCCTAGTGACAGCGTGTGGTCCTCAGTGCCGGAGCTCGACGTGTGGCCGTGAAGAGCCAGCCGGTGCCCGCCTGGGGGACGTCCCCTCCCGCGACGACCTTCAGGTGCCCACTCCGTCCGCTCCCCGCAGGAGCCGCGGGGGCTGCTTGGTGGCTCCTGTCTCCCCTGAACATCCCTGAACGTCCCTGAACATCCCTGACCGTGCCCTAGACCAGGCGTGGCAAGTCCTCTTGCTGAAAACAACGAAAGTTCTGGACAAAATATCCTGTTTAAAGCACATAAATGAATGAGGGTTGGGAAGTTCGTAGGGGATGTCCAGAAGCCACCCTGGGTGACAGCAGGAACCCTGGGGGAGAGGACGGCCGAGCCCACCTCCCCTAGGGGGCAGTTGACAAAGCCCGTGAACTTGGGGCTGGTCACCCTGCAGCCCCAGTGGAGCCTGACGCCCCTGCACAAGGCCGGGCTTCAGGAGGTGCAGCGGGCCCTGTCCCCTCCGGGTCCCCATGATCGTCCTGGGGACCACGTCCCGCACGGGAGTCTGACTTCTGGGAGACCATGCCCCCTGCGAAGGAGGTAAAGCCAGCCCCAGCCCAGTCTTCATTTTAACAGTCACAACTTTTAATTTGCATTTACTTGTCATAAATATTGTCCTCCTAATGACATAAGAGCATCTAGTTCAGAGCGGAGGAAATTACCTAAGAGGGTGACTTTGGGCCAGAGAAGACCGAACAGCTGTGACTGGCTCCCTCCGGCCATTTCTCCCACGGCAGACGCAGAAACACGGTCCCGACTTCCTCCTGTCCGTCAGAACTTCAGACACCGTTCGACAGGGCTTTACACGTTCTTCGTCACAAACTATTTCGTCATATGTAAATGCCATTTGACCAATTTATTTCTCCTGCTTTCATCCCTCACATGAACACATTTTTGGAACCTTCGCTTGTGGCGCGAGCCGCTGGCCGTGGTACCGGCCTCTTCCGCCCCCATCGCCGTTCCCCAAGCCACTTGAAAAAATGCCGTTCACAGAAGTCATGCTGGAAACCAAACGTTCCGTCCTGTACGTAGAAGGTTTAGGAACAGACTCTATTTTCTCAGAGGAATGGCATTAAAATCCAGAGTTCTAGATAAAATGACCTGCCCCGTAAAAGAGAAAAAAGCATTTCTTTCAGAATGAGACTCGGATGACATTTCATTCTAGTTGCCCTTCAGGGCGATGGTCAGGAAACGACGCAGAGAGTGGACCCTCCCGTCTGGACCCGGCCGGAGCAGGTGAGCCGGACGCGCTCCCGCCCCCTCCCCCGATGCGCTCTGCGGGCGCCGCCCCCAGTCAGCGCTGTGTTCCAGACCTTTCTCTCCTCTTTTTTTTTAAGTTCTTGGGAAAGAGAAGAACAAAGGTCTCGTGAGACAAGCTCAAGCCAAAATGTCAGCATGAACGCAGAGCTCTGAAGTTCAGACGCGACACTCTCGGTTCTTGGCTGTTAAAGACTTTGTCAATTTACCTAAGAGATAAACTGCCCCGCAGGGTTCTGGGGAGACCCTGAGGTGCCTGTGCCGTTCTCAGAGGCGGAGCTCTGTGTGCGCTTTGGGCGTGTGCGCTAAATACTTCGACAGCAAGAATCTACACCAAACCTGAAGGGCTGAAGGGTCCGTGTGTGAACCTTGGATTCGCAATGTTAGGGCGATGACTCAGAAGGCGGGGTGCTGAAATGGAGTTGGGGGCGGGGACCGGGGAGAGAGGAGCCGGGGCGCTGACCCCGCCATTCTCGGGAAGGTGCGGAGCTGGGTCAGGGGTTGGGGTCTCGGGGTGCGGAGCTGGGCGCGGCAGGGTCCTGCCAGGGCTGGGCGAGCCGGTGGGGTGACGGGCTCTCAGAGGCGGAGGCGGGCTCTCTGGGGTCCCAGCAGCTTGAGTGACCCGTTGTCCCCCGTCCTGGGCCTCTGGCCCTCCAAAGTGAGCAGCAGCAGAACAGAAATGCTGTGGAAACCTCCGGCAAACACACCTGTGCTGTGAGGCACGCTCGGGGACGAGACCGCAGGTGCAGAGCCCGCGCCCCCATTGTCACCTGCCTCCTCGGCCATCTCCTGGACACCACCCCCACGCCCCGAGTTGAGTTTTACTTTTTATTCAGCACCATGACTGTTAATGTGTTCACGTGACCACAGTGAAGTCACAAACACGTGATTGCTGAGTTATTACCTGTTTCATACTGTGGGTGTTGCGTTAACACAGCTGCGTGGTCGAAGCTATTTCAGGAGGAAATTGGGGTTCTGGGTGACTCAGGCTGCGTCGTGCCGTAGGTGGAGGGCGGTCGTGGCCCCGTGCCAGGAAGCGCTTTGTCGCAGGCCGGGCACATTCGTTCCCGTTCGGGGGAGAGCCTTCGATTTCTGATAAGTCAGTGGAAGGGAAATGTTTCTGTGGGGACTTGGAGAACGTTCTTCAACTTCAGCTTTCAGCCTTGTGTTCTGAGTGGGGAGCCAAAGTCCGCAGCAGCCGCGCTGCATTCGGTGACACGGTGACAACGTTGTGCCTGAGGTGCCCGATTAGGAATGGAGAGAGCCCTCCTGTGGCTAAAGAGGCCCGCGTCACGGAGGCCACCGTCACCCGGGCCGTGACCTTGACAGGGCGCCCTCCGCTGGCCCGGCCCAGCACCCTGTCGACCTGTGCGGAGCAGCCACAGGCGGCGTCTCCTGACTGAGCTCGGGCAGGCCATGGACAACCCGGAGAATCCACCTCGGCGACTCATTCTCACAAATACGAAAACCAGTGTTTTTACCAAAAATGGTGTGGGGAGCAGGAAAAGCGCCACAGAAGGCGCAGGCACACCCAGAGCCGCGTCCGTGCCCGTCCCCAAGGCCGGGGGCCTGAGGGCGACCGTCCCCGTGCCCATCGGGGACCCCAGGGCGGCGTGACGGCGCAGGGACGGAGGGAGGTCCTCCACCTCGAGGGCGGTGCCCGTCCCCAAGGCCGGGGGCCTGAGGGCGACCATCCCCGTGCCCGTCGGGGACCCCAGGGCCGCGTGATGGCGCAGGGATGGAGGGAGGTCCTCCGCCTCGAGGGCGGGCAGCTGAGTGGCCGCGTGACGGGCGGAGTCAGCGTCGTGGCCCGCATTGTTGCCCGCACCCTGTCCCCGCGCTCTGCCCCGGCCCAGCCCCATCCCCGGAGGTGCCCGGCTGGCGTGAAGCTTGCGGGCCCTGCAGTGCGGACTGACCTCTGCGCTTTGGGGCGGCCCCGTTACAACCCTTCTGTGCCAGTGACGCCCCCGTCACGGTCCCCCTGGAACCCACCTCGGGAAGCCCACCCCGTTTCTGCACGCTCCGTGGGTGGTGAGCGCGGACACGCTCAGGCCGCTGGCTGCCGAGTGCGCTTTCTCTGCTGCAAAGGCGTCTGATGTTGGTTACGTGGAGATACAATCTGTAACTTTTTAGAGACCACTGTCACGTCCATTATTGCTATTACGATTTCCTTTGAAAATATTTGCTGAGCTTGAAATAAAGGGAGGACATGTCGCTTCACAATAGCCCTTGGCCAGAAACACAAGCCCTCTAGCCGTGTGACCTCAGTCAGGGTAAAATCTCCACCTCACAGGTATTTTTAAGGAAGAAAGGGAATAACGCACGGAGGGTCCCGAGCGCCCAGGGCGTGGTGCACGCAGTTCCTGTAGCTATTTTTAGGCATTTTCAGAGCTTTTCGGCCAGCCGGTTCCGTGCTTCGCAGTAGCCGGCCCAGGGCCTGGAGCGTGACTGGGGATGAACAGTCAGTGGGAACTCAGAGGTGCACAGAGATCCGTTCAAGGACACTAGGCTGCTGTCAGGAAAAGCTCCGGCTCCCCGATTCCCCAGGTCCCCGTTGCCGGCCCTCGGGTGACAGCACACTCCTTGACCAGTGAAGGAATGCGTCTTCAGGGACAAGAAGTTCTCTGATGAGAATGTCTAGTGATTTCTGCCAGTGTTTTAATTTAAAGATCAGGGGCCTTTTTCCTCCTGGGAACGGCTGCTTCTGGGCTGGCAGGAAATCTCTTCTGCGTCGTCTGAACCGTCATCTCTCGGACGGCAGCGGAGCGTTCTTTGTTTTAGCCGCGGTGACCGTATCGGGACAGTACGAATAAGGAGACAGAAATCCGCATTTCACGACTTCCGTGCGTGGAACCCGTCGGTGACCTTTTGAGCACGGCACCGTAGACACAAACGAATTCTCAGAGGACTGTTGCGTTCCGTAGTTTCCACGTCCGTCCTCATCCAGCTTCTGCCCAAACTGTCGAGAAGCAGAACAGATTTCACTGAGGGTCTCTTTCCACTTTCCTGAGATATTAGTAAGACCGAGTGACGAAAAGCCACGGAGAAAAGCCGAGAAGGCCATGGGCCTGCAAATGGACTAATCAGCACAAATGACCGAGGTGATCGATTGTGTGAAACTATATGGTATCGCGGCTTTTAAACCCCAGTCCTGAAAACCCGCACGTACCCAGCTCGTCCCGACTCCAGGGCAGGGTGACGAGGGACCCTCTCGATCTGCATGTTTATCGCCTGTCGCTGCTCTCTCGTAGGAAGAAGGCGTTGTCAAGGAGATTGACATCAGTCACCATGTGAAAGAAGGATTCGAGAAGGCAGACCCCTCCCAGTTTGAACTGCTGAAGGTTTTAGGACAAGGATCCTACGGAAAGGTGAGTTTGTCTCTGAGTCCCTCCGAGCGAGTCGCGTTCCCCTGCGGCCGGCCCCCCCACCCCCGTCTCCAGGCGGAAGTCCTCGAATGTCTGGTGACGGGAGAGGTGGCGGGGATGCCTCCTGAACACCAAGGAAGCGTGGCCCTGCAGCTGATGGGGTGACATTTGCAGGCGGTCCTCACTCCGCAGCGTCCTGTGCCACCGAGCCCGCACGCACGTCGGATCCGTGGCCTCGCTGGGCACGGCCAGAGCCGTCGCCACTGCTGTGCGAAGCGGGGCTGCTGTGCACTTGGGAGAACCACACACGCTCCCCTCTTCCAGCAGCTTCTCTGGGCTTCAGGGTGTCGCTGCGGTGAGTAGGTGGTTGAACGTGAGCCAATGCGTCTCTGAACGTGCATCCTCGACGAGCGTTTTCTTCAAAGAAGGAAAAAAAAATAAGAACAAGAAAGAAGGGCCAGACAAAACGGCCTCCAGGATGCTCCCCAGGAGGCAGGAAGTGGGGAGCAGCAGCCGCCCGCTCTGCCCCTCCGTGTGGCTTGTGGGGCTACCTCGCCCCGTGAAGCCTCAGGTTCCCCGTCTACGAAATGGGGCGACGTGATCGCGGGGGGTGGGCCACGGCATGGCGCCCCCGCCCGTCGCCTGGGCCGCATCTGCGCAGGACCCGTCTTTCCCCTCCCCTGCGCCTTCGAATCCCAGGAGAGGCCGCCCCTGAGGAGACGAGCAGCAGCGGCCGTCGGCTCCAGCCGCCCGCCCACGCCGCCGGGCGCCGAGGCCTGTGGGCCGTCCCAGCGCAGCGCTGGCCTCTCCGCCCTCGGCGGGGGCTGGGGACGCAGACCCTGGGCGGCGAGCCCCAGAACGTCAGATGAGCACGGAGGCCTGGGGCAGACGCGGGACGGAGTCCGGCTCTGGGCAGCAGCTGTCACTGGCGAGGGGCCTCCCGGCCGTGTGCCTGGTCTCTCCGTGCCCCAGAGGACTGGGTGCCAACGTGAGTGCTGGCCACTGGCCCTGTCACGTAGGGCCACTAGCACGTCAGCGACGTCCTGCACAGTCTACAGACCACGAACGCATGGCCGTTTGCAAAATGTGTCTTGCATTCCTGTAAGGTGCAATGGCTTTTCTCTTGTTCTTTTCCACGGCATTACGTGGCAGGGGACACGTTTACGCCAACATCTCCACGAACTTACTAGTTCGAAGCATACGAAACTGCCAGTATTCAAAACTCTGTGGCTTACAAAATTGGCCGTTTCGTGCAGTTCCTCGGATATTTATGGCAGTACGGGCTTCGGTCCTGCACAGCGCAAAGAGCCGTCGCCGAAGGCGCAGGGCGCGTCCACCGGGCATCAGACACACCGGGGAGGGGAGAGGCACACGGTCCCTTCTCCGAGAGACACGACGGGGAAGCGGAGGCCGGCACAGGTGTGTCCCCTTCCTCCCGTTCGAGACGTCGCCACGTGTGTGTCCTGAGACCACCTACGCTACGCCGAGTCCCCCGGGCCTGCCTCACGGACGAGGCGCGGGGGGCGCTGGCCCTGTGACAGTTGGCGGTCACCCCCGTGGGACCCTGATTGCAGCGGCGCCGACCCCACTTCACAGTGCTTTCCGAGCTCAGTGGAAACAGACTGAGGCGCCAGGCGTCCGTCCAGCAGCTCCGCTGACCAGAAGCAACTTGAAAACGCCATCCGCGGAGGCCGCGGTGCTGCACGCGGAGGGGGAGGAGGCCGCTTCCGAGTCCCTCCAAATGCCACGTTGCCAATTTTGGTTTTGCTTTCGAGAACGTTCTTTGGCAGACGGCAAGCGACACAGCGGCGCTGGCAGCGTCCCCCTGGGGCGACCATCTTCGTAGTGGCCCCACCGTGCCTCTTCCCGGCCACCGTGGTGGGGGGAGTAAGGAGGAGGTCAGGACCGCGAGCGAGAGGTCACAGGCAGGGCCGGCGCAGCGGCCACGAGGTCCGACCCCCACCGCGACCCGACTCGGCCAGTGGCGGGAGGGACGGTCAGGGCCCGGGCGACGGGGTGCTGGAACGGAGGGTCGCTACTCCGCGGCTCTCCCCTCGGCCCCGGGGCGGCTCAGAGCCGACGCCGCCGCCCGGGAGCCACGGGTTCCAGCTGTGTTTGCTCTCGGGCTGCCGGCTGTGACTCCGTCAAAGCAGAGCTGGTGACGAGGGGGGCCGCATGTCCTCACTCCCCGCGCTACCTCAGTCCCCGTCCCCAGATCCGAGTGGGTGTCCTGATGTCGGCTGATCGTCCTTCTGCCGTCTGTGCGGGAAAGAAAGGCGGCCGAAGGCTCCGCTGGCAGAGACCTCCCGCGGCACAGGCTCCGCCTCGCTCCGGAGGGCAGGGCGCTGGCCGCACCAGGCCCCAGCATCCGCGGCACGGTCCCCAGCGCCCCTCCTTCCATCCGTGCAGCGATGGCAGAAGCTGACGAAGCGGATTCGGTCTCTGCCACGTGCAGGTGCCTGCGCCTGTCCCCAGACGGCTCCCAGGAGCCACCAACTTGCCCCGCCCCGGCTGCAGGAGTCGTCACCAGCCACGAGACTGTCCCTGTGACAGAAGCGACGCTGACCCCTGGAGGACTCAGCCCTGGAACGGGGACGGCCAAGGCCGGCAGCCCGGCATCTGCGTGCGGACCGCACTCGCGTGTGCTCGCCCGGGGCTCAGCCCTCAGCGTGCGGGGAGCCGGGGGGCCAGTGCCCGGCCAGTTTCCGACGCAGTGCAGATGGCCGTGGCCCATCCTGACTCCTTCAAACCGGCACCATGGCGGTCCTGTCTGGGGGCCGTGGTGCCAGGGACGAGAGACGCAGCCTGATCCCCAAGCCGAGAGCAAGTTAAATACTGAAGCAAGGATGCGATGAAAGATGCGCCACGTTCGTTCGGTGGCTCTCGGGAGTGTCACCTAAACAGCGTCCCGGGAAGTGTTCATGTCGCTGAGTCTGTGGGGGGCCGTTTGGACACCCAGCCGCCTGCAGGCGTGGCTGCTCAGGGCCGGCGTCTGAGGGAAGGAGCTGAAGTAAGAGAAGCTGCTGGCTCAGGGCTCAGAGCGGCTCTGTGACCGGCGATGACTCGGGGTGGCCTCACGTGGGTCACCAAGGGTGTTCGCAGCAGGCCGGGTGCGCCCGGAACCTGTGAATGCTGTCTGCTTCTCTAAACAACTGGCCTTTTACTTTCCATATAACACGTTTCATGGAAAGTTAGTGGCGCCAAAAACAAATGACGATTCTTCATACAAACACATAATGATGTCATCGCAGGGCTGTGTAAGTTAGGCCAGCGGTCCCCAGCCTTTGTGGCACCAGGGACAGGGGCCCCTATGAGCATCTGACCCCAGCCTTTGTGGCACCGGGGACCGGTGCTCCTAGGAGCATCTAACGCTCGATGATCCGAGGCGGAGCTGAGGCGGTGATGCCGGCGCTGGGGGCGGCTGCAGATACAGATGCAGCTTCTCTCCCTTGCCTACCGCTCAGGGGCGGCTGCAGACACAGATGCAGCTTCGCTCACTTGCTCGCTGGCCGCTCACCTCCTGCTGTTGGCCCGGTTCCTGACAGGCCACGGACCAGTACCACGTGTGGGGGACCCCAGAATTAGGCAAAACTT